AAATGCGGTTTTCTTGAAACAGCTTTTTCGCGACTTTCCGTCACTGGCATGATATCTACGAAACTAACTGATAATTTTCCACTTTGATTACATGTTGAGGAAACATCCCTTCATTGTTCGATGGAAAAAAAAAATAATTCATTATATATTTTTATTTTTATTACAAAAAATTCAGCCAATTATTAGAGTGAAATCAATGATTTTTATTTGACAAGCCTGTCCCCCCGCCCCACCATTTTCACAATTATAAATTTTTTTTTGCTTGTTTATCTAACAATAACTATATGTATATAAAATTAAACGCTATCGGACTTTTATATTTCAGATCATCGGGACGGAAGATATCTTGTCAATCAGTGACGGAGATATTTCGCGCAGCATCATGTTTGAGGAGAGATAACCGGCGTTGGCTCAAATTTAAGATAATAAAAAAAAACTAATTACATTTAAATATAGTAAAACAATATTCCAAAATTCGAATGTATTGACTTTGGTCAAAAGTTCCCCAAAAAATCAATTTTTTCGCCCAAAAAATAAGAATCCTCTTTTAAAAATTTTGTTTTAAAATAGATTTCTTACTTTAAAAACAAAAATTGTAAAGTGATGAGTCTTATATATTACAAATGAATCGTACATAGCAAACCCCTATTGTATAATACTATCCTACAAAAAATTTTAAATTATTGGAGATATTTGTGATAATTACAATTTATACGATTAAATACACATTTATATTATCAACTTTTTTGTTTATAACTTTTTAACAAATAGCAATCGCCAACCAAAACTTATTGGAGGACACTTAAGGTCATGGCAGTATGTGTTAAAGCCATCGAAAGTGGGTCCATTGTTTTTAATATATATTTACCGTTATTTTCTGTAAAGCATAATTTTTTTGTGTGCGAAGTTTCTTTCTTTCTCATTTTCTGGAAATCAAATTTCGGACAAAATGCATTTTGAAAGTTTGCTCCATATGTATTATAATCAATCTCGATTATATTATAATCGCGAATATGCATAGCAGCCATCGACGCGAGTCTCTCAGCGCGATGCGGTGAGACATGTGGCAATGCCGGGCAGCAACGCGCTTCCCTTCTTGCCTCTCCAAAGCGCTGCCAGCAACCAATACTTGATAAATTGGACTAGGTTATACTTTAAACGGTCGAAGTGTTTTTCTCAGCGTACTGTTATTAGTAAAATTACAAAATTTAATAGTTGCTTTCCATTTTTCCACACACAAGTGAAATTGAGTCTGAAGTGAGCTGAGTATTTTATACTCAGTCACTACTTGCTTACTACTTTGTAAAAAGTAGTAAAGTTTAGTAAAAAGTTATTACATTTCAACACAGTTCATAATCTCTTTAAAGTGAGACTCACTAAAGCACACAGTCTCGATCTTGTGCAAATTATGAACTAATAGAATAAAAACCAATTGAATCTCACTTGTCAGAGCAAAAGGAACGCGCATTCAACTGAGTTATGATGTTACAAGTGAGAATTATCTGAGAATCGGTGTAAATGGAAATCAACTCTCGATTATCATTGCAAATATCGCTAAATAATATTGGACTTTGTATTCACTCGATCCCATCTACCTTCCTGTGGGTGATAACAAAAGTCTCGCGAGATATCCTGTAGATAGAAAATAAATTATGTAAAAAATTCTAAGAAATTGTTTACAAAGATATAATTATATAAAATAATAATCTTTTTCTTAAATATATCATTTATTTCAAAACTTTTTCACTGACGCGCTGCTTGGAGTGGCATATCCCATGATAATCTGTGTGTTATTATTGCATTTGCCGGAAGCCAAATGAGATAATGAAGAACATTGTACACCCAGGAAGGCAGATTCGTTGATCAGAGACTCTGCATAGAATTTCCAAGAACGCTGATGACTGCAGAAATCTATCAATGACATGAGATGTAAAAAGAGATGTAAAAGGTATAATCTGTTTAACTGCAAATTCTAAATAAGAAAAAAAATATACCATCTTTGCTATAAAATTTAGGATGTTGTGGACAGCCGGGTTGTATGCGTTCACCACCGTTTGGGAAAAAGTCCACTGTGCCTGTAGTCCTGGCAATACCATAAAATCCATAATCTGTGTGTATGATATCCACAAAACGGGCATCAGAGAGCGAAAGATGAGGTTGAAGAAAGTTGTAAAGGGGACCAGCAGGATCCAATCCTATATAAAAATATTGAAAAGTATATAATAATACAATAATATTTATATATATGTACATATATGCATCAAACCCTGTAACAGAATCGTAAACGAAACTCATAGAAAATTGAAACATCAAAATGTAAAAGAAACGTAAATGCTTCTTTTACATTTTATTGTTTCAATTTTCGTCTTCTAGAAGTTTTGTTCACACTTCTGTTATTCTTCCATTACATTTATATTTTCATCAGGGAACTAGTATATCTTTTTATTTTTAATGTACCAGGTGTAGAAGTATGAAACCGGAATTTCCCTATATATGGCACTAGCTATCAGTTTAAGGACCACAAGACCGCATCTGCAGTGCCATCATCTCTCTCTAACAGCTGACGAAGATTTCCAACATACAACAACCCAAGTTCCATACACCGGTATATTTTTTTCTAACCTTAAACATGTCGAGTTTTGTGCCTACGAACTACGATTTGCGGACAGCATTGGTTTTCTGTTATCATTTGAAGAAAACTGCTGCAGAATCGCATCGAATGCTTGTCGAAGCTTACGGTGAACATGCTCTTGGTAAAACACAGTGATTCAAAAAATTCAAAAGTGGTGATTTTGACATGAGAAACGAAGAGCGTGGGAAACCACCGAAAAAGTTCACAGACAACGAATTGCAAGCCTTATTGGATGAAGATGATACTCAAACTCAACAAGAACTCGCGGATCAATTGAATGTAACGCAGAAAGCCATCTCCATTCGTTTGAAAGCTATGGGCAAGATTCAGAAAGTGGGAAAATGGATTCCGCATGAACTGAATGAAAGACAGCAAGAAAATCGAAAAACCACTTGTGAAATGCTGCTTGACAGATACAAAAGAAAGTCATTTCGCCATCGAATTGTCACAGGTGATGAAAAATGGATATATTTTGAGAATCCTAATCGTCGTAAATCATGAGTGAATCCAGGCGAACCATCGACATCCACTGCAAGACCAAATCGCTTTGGAAAGAAGACAATGCTCTGTGTTTGGTGGGATCAGAAGGGTGTAATCTATTATGAGCTGCTAAAACCTGGTGAAACCGTTAAAACTAATCGCTACCGACAGCAAATGATCGATTTAAATAGAGCATTACGTGAAAAACGACCGGAATATGGAAAAACAACACAAAATCATTTTGCTTCATGATAATGCTCCATCACACACAGCAAAACGGGTCAGGGAAACAATCGAGGCGTTCAGTTGGGAGATATTAGCGTATGCGGCTTATTGTCCAGACTTGGCTCCGTCCGATTATCATCTATTCGCATCACTGGGACATGCTCTCGCTGAACAACACTTCAATTCGTATGAAAATGTACGAAAATGGCTCGATAACTGGTTCGCTTCAAAAGAAGAACTGTTTTTTTGGCGTGGCATTCATACATTGCCGGAGAGGTGGGAAAAATGTATAAATAGCAATGGAGATTATTTTGAATAAAAAATTTTTTATCATTTTCAAACACAGATGTGTAATTTTTACAAAAAAATTCCGATTTCATACTTCTACACCTGGTATTGTTACGTCCGGCCGTTTATATTTTCAACAAAATTTGCTGTTAATCCGAATTACTCGAAACTATTTTATTTTCTTTTCGCTTGTGGAATGCGCCGTCTTCATTTATGCTCTTTACACATGTTTGTCGGCGCGAGCCAATCATACACGGGACTCATGCCGCGTGCGTCGTACTATGGGGAAAGCGGTCCGAAATCTATAACGAAGAACTAATAAAATAATTTGGTAGATAGCTTCATAACGTCATTGATTAACAAAAGACTAATTAAATACATTAAATAGGTATAGATCGAGCTACTTGTACGTCGAATTTGAGTTTAATGCGTATAATTATCGAGGAAATTTTATGTCCATGTGATAATGATGTCTAATCGATTTCCGGAGAAAATCTTTATTTCCCTAGAGATCCTATAATCAAAGTTTGGTGAAAACGGAATTTCTGATTGGTTCTTTAGTCCACTTGGTATTTTTCGGATAGCTTCGTACATTATCGGAAAACGAGTGCAAAGAAAAGAAACAAATATTAACCTCAAGTAGATAAGTAAAACTTGTATCAAACAGCTCTAAAATTGCTCCGAAATCTCAGACAAAGAGAAAATTAACAAATTATACGATTCGGTCAATTGATCAACTCGATTGGTTTTTTCAAATATTGTTGTCATGTATTGCCTGTCACGTATTCTAACACTAGTAGTAAAGCAAGGCGTTCTAACCCATGGGGCTAGAGGAGGCGCGGGGATGCTCGTAACGCGGGGAAGAAGGAGAGAAAAAGGTTCCGGCGCTATTGATGTTACGTAAACATAGGACCCCGGTCCTTATTTTTGTTGTTACCCGCCGCTTTGTCTTCAAAAATGCATCGACAATAAAGGCTTGCATACACTAACCGCATACTATCATCTTTTTTTCTTATGTTTCATCTTTTCCGCCGCCGCCGCATTATCACTCTCGTTATATAACGAAGATATCTTCTTGCACGCAAACATATTTTATCATACGTTTTTATTTAAAAAGAGAACGCTTAATACGGTCGTGACAGAACCGTCGAATGCGAAGATGCTCGCGTAATTTAGCAGCGCAGAAATAAAGAGGAAACAAATAGATGCGAAATCTGAGTAATATAATTTACATATATTTTTCATACTACATAAAAATTTTATTATAATATATAATAATAAAAAATTTTAATTAAAAAAAAATTTTGTAAATAAAAAATAAAGAAATTGTAATTAAAAAATGAAAATGAAAATCAAAAAATTTTTAAATATATGGTGAGGCGCCATCGTTTCTGTAAAACAAAAACGTTACATTAGCATGCAACATATAAGAAAAGAAATTCGCATATAATATAAATTTATGATACTTACAATTCCAATCTTCCGGCTCCGGATCAAGCTCGTACGATCGGAGGCAGTTCGGCTAGGAAGAAGTCACTTTCCTCCCATCAATTTGTTTCTCCCAATTCCGCTATCTCTCACCTCGTACCATTTGCCACGTAACTATTTCTAAATCCTCTAATTTAGACGTAAAAACGAGGTACACTCTGAAAAATGGACAAAATGAATTTAAAAGAAGAAAAAAAAACAGAAAATAAATCTATTTGTTATACTTACTGAGGTGATACTGAGGGGATAATTTGCATCCCTACCTCATTTCGCAACTGTAGCCGGACTTGCGGCTCGTTATCGACTATAAGGTATTGAAAAAAGAAAAGTAAAAAGACGTTAAAAGTGCAAAATCACTAAAATGATACAAAAAAAACAACTTACTCCTTCAACTCATACCGGATTTGAATCAAATCCTGTAAATTACTCATCGTTGTTATGAAAAATATTCTGAAAAAAATCGACAAAATTAAAAAAAAATCGCAATATTATCACTTTCACAATCACTTAATAAATATGTAAAAGTATTTTACTATTTAGTTAATGGTAAAATACTTTTGCACTTTGAGGAAAAAATCACTCACGTTATATATTAAACTCTTCTGTTAGACTTACACGCGAATTCAGCAAAGACTGACACTGAGAAGCATCTTTTGCCATAGCGAGGCTATCTAGGAAACATTTGCGCTGCATGTGAAACATTTAAAATCATGTTACAGAAAAGATAAAAGAATCAATAGAGTACAAGTACCTTTTTTTTCGACACAGTTTTTTCAATACAGTTTTTCCTGGCGAGACAAAGGATGGGAAGTAAAAGAAAATACATACGTAATAATGCGAACAAAAAAATGTTTGTTAACATCTTATTACACTGATTTTCGTACTTATTAAAAACTAAAGCTAATAGTTTGCAGCATTCGAATGCGATCGGTAGCTCGAACATCGCTAACAGCGCTTTCTGGAAAAAGAGAACGAAAAAAATTTTTTAACCACTATTCGCTTTTTTAGCAGAGAATAAAATGCATTAGTAGTAATCATTCTAAATACGATATGACTTATATTTTGATACTTATATTTTATACTTATGACTTATATTTTGATGACATTGATGACGTGGATGATGAGCAACACGATTTTGATGCTTTTTCATCGGGACATTCCCAATATCTCGCTTTTTCCCTCGATGGTGGACTTGGCGGATCTGGTGACAAGGGACGGTACCCCTTGCGCTCGATCGATTTTCGACGTATATATTCTTTTACTCGATCCATGTCTTATCGCTCGTAACTAATATTTACGATTGAATAAAAAAAGCGCTATATACTGTTTATATATAATATATATATATACTATCAGATCGGTGACATGTCGCCACGCGTTAATAGAAGCGCCAATGTTTTTCGGCTGCTAAACAAAAAAACATAACTCTTCCGCAGTAAATGGAAGATAGGATGTGCAAGTATTTGCATAAAGGCGAGTACTCCAAGTCGAACGCACCCTTTTTGTCATCGATTTCTGTTTTATTACTTGAATATGCGTTCTCTCGTCTAGAAAATATTTACTTAAATTTTACGATCGACAATCTAAAAAAATTAAAAGCTACGCTTCGTGATTCCTCATTTATTTTATCAACTTCCTGTTGTTGACGAGAAAACGTCCTTCAACTTGCTTTTACACGTTTGAAAGTATGAATCTTTATTTACACAGGATCCACATTTGTACTTACTGAACCGATCGTGTATAAATAGAATTTTCTCTACATGGTTTGTAACCATTGTCGGAAATTTTATTGCCGTGGATCTGGCGAGGATCTATGTTTTTGTTTATGTTTTTAATATCGTTGGGAAGATTTTCTAATACGTTTCTTGAATATTATCACACTTGCCGATCGGTGACCGTTAAAACTCGAGTTTTACGCTTTGTATTAACGACTGTTTTGTCGAAATTTTCATGAAACAAATCTTGGAGTCCACTGGACGTAACGAAATATATATTATAATAGGTCATAAGTGCTCGACACTACAGTTAGTGTCCTGGAAGACGAACGAATCGGTCGATTCAGTTATTGACGATAAGCATAAGTATGACTAACCATCATGCGAACATAGCCAACGTAGTCGAATATATTCGAAACGTGGATCCGGAACAATTCGCGAATATCAGAGACGAGGTGTTCGAAGTGCTCGAAGAAGTGAATTTCGAAGAAATAATGGACCAAGAAATCGATTCTGACGAAGAAATATTATCAGACGACGCTGACTATGCTAATGCTGATAAAAGCGTAGATAAGAGTCAAGGTTGGTGCATATGCATTTATTCCCGCGGGTAATGAAAAGTGCATCGAACTGCTGATTATCGACAATATATGGATGGAGTTTTGTGATCGCAATCTTGCGCTAAAACTATTTTTCGATAGATGCGACGATCAATGTTTTGAATGTGAACAGTGCACTTTCAGCAAACAAATATAATAAAAAAGTGTTAGAACGACATTTTAGATATGTCACGATGCTGCAACGTGTGTGAACGAATCACGTGCAAGTGGAAGAGTGTGACGTGATCTAAAGACTGTAAAAAAAAAGACATGGAAAATCATGAGCAAATAGAACGCGAATTGTTGGAACAGTCGGTCAGGTCGCTACTCTGATGGAGTATTTCGCGGCTACAACGATGCGACGAGTGTATCGAGCGGCTCCCACAACTTTGTTGTGCCACGCGCCCCCCGCCCCCCCTCGGAG